AGTCTGAGGCAGAGGAGCTCGGGGGAGATGGCGCTGTGCAGCACATTTTCCCCCCTAATTCTTTGAATATCTATTAGCTGCAGAAAAGTGTGCTTGATGGAATCATGCTGTACCTCTTACTCCCCTGCTGATATGGCAAAATAATTTATTTTGCATTCACAGTCCTGAGAATGCTTTTGATCCTGCTTTTAATAAGAACTGTTTAGGGTTTAATGGGGAGCTGGGATCAAAGACGTTGTGTGTGGGAAATGCATTGCACTTACTAAATTAGAATTTCCACCTGAAAACATCTAAGCCCGTAGAAAACTGGGCATGAAACTTCCATAGATCTAAACTCCATATCCAGAGTTGAATGCATAATAAACTGTATGTAAACTCAGGCCTACTCTGACTTTAGGACCATTCAATGAAATGGGTTTTTTTTCAGATAAAGACAATGCAATAGATAGATGAAAAGCTTCTTTTCACTTCCACAAGTGGTATTCCCACTTAAAAGTGTTTTCACAGTTATTTACAGCTTGGTCTGTAGCAGCCTGAGTAGTGCATGGCATATATTAAAGTTGTTTTAAACCAGAAGTTATATAGAGGAGAAGGCAAGTTATTGAAATACACTTAGAATTCATTCTAATAAAATGAGAATTCAGATTGTAGAAAAGGGCAGAAGAGAACAGAAAGGTCTGGCAAATAACAGAATAAATGCAATCTTAATTTTTTTATGAAACTGCAGTTAGTTTTTTTAAATAACTGTCTCCAAGCATCCTCTTAAAATATCACCAACTGCCAAAATCGAATACTGTCATTTTATTGTCGTAACCATAGGTTGCTGATTTCGTAATTGGCTTGGTGAGAGAGCTCACCTGTAGGGATTTAACCACAAGCCGAATTTATCAATTTTTTAATAAATCCTAGAGATTGAGAACAGTAAATAATAAATGATACAGTGCTTGGTAAGTCAATATTTAATTTGATATAGATTCAGGGAAACTAATGTTTTACATGTACATATTACTGTGGTCCTTCTATGAGAGAAAGGGTAGGTTTTGTTTACAAATAGGAAAAGGTAAAAATTGGTAGGGTAATTCTTGTACAATTTAGTTCATCTTAGTGCTTTATAATTTCAGGCTAAAAGAGTATTTGGAGTGGCTGATTGACTGCAGAATACCTGTGTGCGTGTGTGTGTATATATGTGTGTATATTCTTGCTAATTGAAGCTTTTTTGGTCATGCTTCAGTCTGCCCACCCGGTGTGATTTGCTAAGGATGTACAGTTTGGTGCAATTCCACAGTAGAGCTTGGAAGTTCGCAGTGGAACTTCTGGCGATTTTGAGCGTGTGCTTAATTTGTCTGCCAAATAGATACTAACTTACGATGTGCATCAGATGAAGTAGAAATGATCTGAAGAACAGTTTTGCTGAACTGATAATCTAAGCTAAACAGACTCAAGAAATTGGTTTAAGCCCAAACTGAGATATTATTCCAACAAAATATTTAATTCCTCTTTCACCAGAAATTTAAAAAGCTTTTGTTACAAGCACGGTTATTTAAAACTCTGTATATTGAGTTGTACGCATGTGCAATACTTTGCTAGTCACAAGCCCAGAACTGAGAAGGGTGAGTGAGAAAATAGTTCTGTAAATTCTGTAATGCTCCAGCTGGCTGGGTTATGAAAAGGCCAGTGGTCACYACTGTTAAACATCTGACCAAAGCCAGGGAAGGGGTTTTGCTTGTGTGCTGAAAAAACTTACTTCAAATTACATCTGTTCTGTAGCTTCAAATTTATTTATTGCTATGATGACCTGTCTGGGAGTTTTGCTCAAATTTTGCAATATCCTAAGGAATATTAGTACTTGTTTTCCATCATGCTGTGGATGGGTGCAGATGAAAGCATGGGTGCCACCATGATAACATGTGGTCATTTCCCAGTAATATTTTTCAAGTTCTTTGATGCTTCTACAGTTAACCAACAATATTTAAAACACCTAATCTCAGAAGCTTCTCTTATCAATTTTCAGTCCATGTTGCTATTACCTGTTGCTCAAAATTTAGTTATTCCACCCACAATTCCTGTTTTTTTCCTATCTTTATTCAACTTAAGTCTGGTACAGATTAGTTAAGTTTGCTTTTGTGTTATTATGTATTACTTAGTATGAGTAACTGGAAGAATTCAAGGGAAGGAAAAGACAAAATGAATGAAAAAACTATACCAAGGGTATGGGCTGGAGAGCTGACATCTTGTAGTAGAGATTTATGTGGTCTATCACAAAAATGTAGCTTTTCTACACAGTTATTAATCAGCTAGCTCTGATCCTAATGCTTGCGTGTGGTGCTGCTGTCCATCCGCCAAAGCTGCTCCAGATGAAAAAGGGTRGTTTTATACTAGTTAGAAAATGAACTAGGAGGTGAACCAGGTTAACTTGCATAAGTTGCAATGTTCTTATTGAGAGGTATTTTCTGAARAGCTGTTTTTCAAAATAGGAGGAATAGACAATTTTTATTATTTTTTTCAAAGAGGTGGTTGTGATGGTAATTAAAAAAAAAAAAAAAAGCAATTTTAGGGAAGACTTTTTGGAAGAGTGGCGTTTTGTGACATTTAGAAAATATTTATTTTACTATTTAATTTGCTCTGTATATCCTGCTAAATCAGAGGAGTTCCACATAGAAAATCAGATCACGTTACAGGATCTGAGCTAAGGGTTTTCTTTAGTATTCGACGAAACCTAGCAAATATGCGTGCTGACTTCTGTGAATGCTGTCTTAGAACACAGATAACCAAAACATGTCTAAAAGATAAAAATGCATTAAGCAATCTCTCTAGACGTTCTCTCAGAAGGAAGAATATTTTAAAGAAAGTTTTTAAGTTTGCTTGTGCAACTTGCCCTTTATTGTCTACATGTTCTTTTCACTTCATGATAACATCAAGGCTTTTAAAAAGTCTCCATTTTGTTGATTTCTGAAGTGGTCTCATTGGTATTACTCTTTAACAGTCTTTACCTTTATCATTATTAAAAACATCAGTTTTTCTTGTTTATGTAGAAAAGTATTCTTTCTATCTGTATGTTTATTCTTAAAATTCCCATTTGCATTTATTTCCCTACTTAAAATCTCAATAACTCCTCCATTCCCCCCCCATTTTTCTGACATCCATTTGATGAAAAAGATTGCACTGCTRTTGTCCTTTCTTTGTGCAATATGAGTTATCCCATTTCAGTTAGCTGTTATGATTGTATATTATCTATGATATGAATAAAGAACAGCAATATYGTGGTAAGCTTTCACTCAGTATAGCCAGTTGCTTGGAGCTTTTCATTCCCAAATCAGAGTGTTATAAGGGATTGGGAATGACAGTGTTATAAGGGATTCAGGTACCTGATTCTAGGGAAGCATTTCACTATGAGAAGAACTTTGAGTACATGATTAAGACAACGTTGTTTTCATGAGCTAATGAAAAGGTGTCTTGGTTGTTACAAGCACTGGAAAGTATGTATCTCTAGGTTTTTTTATTTGCATCTCCATTGAGAAGATTTCTACSCACAGCCTTCAGTGACTTGAGGGTAACTTAGTCCATCTAACTAGCTTCAAGCTAGTTGAATTTTTTTACATTTTGTAGTTCCAAAATATCATGTGGTGTGTAATTATTAATCAGTGTCTGAAAAAAACCTTGAAGTATTTGTGATCAGAACCTTTCTGACCAGCTTGTTAAACTTTCAGGAACATCTTMAATGACCTCAATAAAGCTAATGGCATGTGTAGGACAATTAGCCATGATTTCTGTTTAATATTATTACGGTGAATGCCTCAAGTGCTATTAAGGTGAAAAATCACCCCGATTACAGAAGGGCTTGAAAAGCATTTCTCTTGAGGCATCAGCCACAACGCCGGATGCGACAGGTCTTTGCACTGAGCAGCTTGTGATGGGCAGGATGGGGGGACACGCCTCAGAGGCGAAGCCAAGCTTTTGGTGTCTGTCTAATGGAAGTTTTAACAGTGTGATAGCCCAGCCGATTAGACTGATAGTCTCCTTAGAATAATAAATATTTATAGTCTGTAGTAAAATAGAAAGACCTCAATAATATACTTGAGAAGGTTTACAGAAAACCTCTAGTATCTGTGTCCTCCTCTTCGGTGTGATGCCTGTGCAGRGTATGAGGCTTGGCAGGTGCAGCAGTGGGTAGGAAGGGGCTATGAAGAGTTGTCAGCATTTTAGGAGATGGGTGGGTGATGATAGTGGCAGAGGTTTATTTCTCCTCTCTTTTGGGAGCTCTGTGCTGCTAATAGTTTCCTCCTCCTCCTTATTCTTAGAGTCATATTAGGCTTGTTGTTATCCTATGTAATACGGTTGAGTTTTTTCTGTCTGTTRGTTCCACTGCTCAGGCTTTTTACTCCCTTGGTTATCTCTAAAACTCATTTTATCTGAATAATGCAACATCCTACTCTTGGACAAGCCATTAGTTGACCATCCTGATTGGTATTTACATGGTGGATCGTGTGATACCTCTTTRTACTCTTCCACAGGACAGTTGTGCTACCGGCTACAAAATCTTTCCGATRTGTAGGAGTACACTTTTTTTTTTTCTTGGTTTTCTATAGAATCATGGAGCCAAATGCTTATGTGAAGGCTGTTAATTCTAGGAGATAAGCGTCAGCTCGGGCACTGCTCTTGATAAGAATCTGGCAAACTTTGAAGTCTTAAATGGTAACTGCTGTTGTATTATAAAGCCCGAAAATAGCTAGGGTTATGAAAATCTTTTGAGATGTTCATTGCAATGTCATTTGAGCTGYTACACTCTGGATAGCTCATATCTAGGAGTTGAATTCTTGGAAAGATAAGCTATTATGTTTAATTCCTACATGACAAGGGCTATGCTTCAGCATAAGATGAAGTCTAACTTTCCCATTTTTAGTTGCSTAAGTGCAGTTGGTCTATCCCAAACCTTAAGACATGGCAAGGTGACATTACTCAAATCTTTTCATCTTTTTTTTTTTTTTCTTTTCCTTGCAGATCCCTGAAACACTRTTATTAAGCACTGGGAGGTGAAGATATCCAATATAATAGCAGGCAGCACTGAAGTCCTTCRGGAGGTTTCAGTCTGCAGGAGACCTTGCATGGCTACAATCACCTGCAGCAAAAGCTTTTACTCACAACAGGTAAGTCTGTCAACTCACTTTATGCAGGGTTAACCAACATCCTTCAACTAAGTGTTATAATACCATSTTGAAAAAGAAAGAAAATCAGAACAGAGTTAAATATAGATGTTAGGGTAAAATTTCCTTTAGATATTGGACAAAGCAGAACATAGAATTCCTGCCCYGTCTGTAAGAACGAAAATATTTGATGTGGTATTCCCTTTTTGTCTTAGGTGTTTGTTCATACCCAAAGTATGCCAACTGTTTTCTAATTCAAAGCAATTGCAACACGGTAAAATTTACACAGGGCCCAAGTAATTGCCCTTTAGAAAGGGAGTGTACCTGAAACCTGGAGAACTGAAAGAACTCCCAGCACATACAAGCCAAGACACTTGGCATGTCTCTAAGGCTCTGTGTGTCAACCTTTCTATTTTAGTTAAGGAGGCATTTCCTACACCCCCTRTATCTGGCCTATGCAGCTGTAAGTTGGAAGTAAAATGTTAGTGAACATCTCAGGTGGTGTGCAGATTGTTACAAAGACAATTTCTTTTCTGATAAGAAGTCAAAAGTATCAAATATGGCTATGTTGATGAACCGTTAYGACAACTCAGTTTTAATAAATTACCTTTACAAATGCTTTCTTTAAGCTCTTACTAGAATTTCCTTCTAGGATTTTTTATAATTTACTTTCAGTATTTATATCACAGGAATGATCTGTCTTTGTTTTGGTCTTAGTACATGTTTCTTAGCTTGTAGGAAAAGGAGTATGATTACTACCATGTCCTCATTTGCATTCTGAATTCTGTTGTAATATGTGTGTGGAATTAGAAGAGCCTTGTGCTTAGGAGGAAAGGATGAATGATGAGAAGGGGTATCTCAGTATTTATATTGGAGTTGGAAACTGTTACTAATTGTKTTCTCTAGTGTGTTAACCAGTAGAATCAAGTCACAGGGCTTGCCTCAACTTCCTTGGCACTTGATGGCTTCTCAGTCAGGTACAATGCAGCTGAAGGGTGGCGTTACATCTGGAATAGAATTTTCACTTTGGACAAGGTTACAACATCATGGCACCACAACACAGAGTGCTGACATAAACTTAGAAAATCTAAGCTGCTGTATTCCTGAGACAAGAGGTAACCATCTGTGGATGGGCTGCAGAGCAGCAGTCCTGCTGAGGAGGAGGGCTTTCTGCAGTATCTAATTGGAAATAGTACAGACTGTGCCCTAAAGTTTCTTCTCTTAGGACACAGTATGACTCAAATGGGGAGGAAATGTCCATGCCTCAAAGACACTGACTCTTCAGTGGAAAGTACAGCAGCCCAAATCCATTCCTTTCCTGGGTTTGTGTTGCTCTAATTAGTAGGACATCTTGAAATTGCCTGGTGATCCACTTTCAAGGAGATGGTACTTGAGGAAAGCCCATCAGCCAGCTGTTAGGATGCTGGCAGGGAAGTATGARAAGGGGATATGAGCTTGTCCAGAGGGATGGGACTGAGCTGAATGGCTGCATGTGCTAGGCAAAAGGTTGGTTTTACTGGTCTCTGAGATGTCTCCCACTTGCATCTCCAGCTGAATTTCTGAATAGAAACGGTCCAAASTGTCCTATGGTACATACAGCATATCCTAGAGGTGAGCAAAAGGCTTGCCAGCAGTTTCCAGCTTCTTAAAGGAGACCCAAGCACAGCTATCATGTGGATTTTTATTTATTTTTTTAAGTGCAGGAGTAAGGTAAGCGTCATAATATGTTCTGGGTTTAAGCAAAAGCAGRAATATTGATGTCTCCGGACTTTTTGCTGGGGAAGGCTTGTACATAACTGGGTTCAGAYATATGCAGGCTTAGATGTTTGGGATGAAATGGGTAGGCGCTTCAGACCATGTTTCACCTACCAAAATCAGGGTATTGGTTTAGCCTCAGAGTATGTAAAAAAAGTTGTTGCAATGAAGTTGCAGACAAGAATAGAATGAGTCARTTGTTGAATACATAAAATCTGCTTTCACTTTTCATCTGCTTTACAGTCAGACTTAACAAAGCAGTTCTCAGTGAGCAATGTATTTCCAAGTGGCAAACTCAATTATGTCAAATTATTAGAAGTGGAAGAGGGGGGCAAGTTTTGCAGAGATATTGGCACTCCATGTGTAACTTAGTGTAAAAAAAAAAAAAAAAAAAAAGAGTGTTCTTTATTAAAAGAACATCACAAATACAAGTTGCAACATAATGTAGAAGCGAGGATGATCTTTTTAAAAAGCGGTGTTGTAAGGCTGAGGTTTGGTGGGTTTTTTTTTCATACCTTTGTGTTTAATGTTAAAAATGTGTTCCTCTTGAAGTGATAATTATCAATACATAGGCTTGCTGTCAGAACAAGCTGCAGTGTTACTGGAGCTTTTCATGAATCCTTTCTCCTTGAACTTTCATGGCAAGTGCTGGATGAAAAACTGTAAAATGCCATAAACCCTTAGTATCCCAGAGAAATCATCTTACTGAACAACTTTAATTTTGTGTGTGTTTATCTTGTTCTTATTTTTTTTTATCCCCACTCTCAGCCTTGATAMAATTTAACAGTGCTATTTTATTTACTTTATATATTCAAAGGGCAAATTTTTCATTTCACTACTTCCTGAAGGGAAAGACACTCTAGACCAACGCAGTTTTATCACTGGCCTGAGGGTGGAAGACTTTATTTCAGCCAATTAAAATAACAATTACTGCTAGAGACACTAATAGTAACACCCTGATTAGTGCCACAACCCAGATGGTATGATTAAAACCCCTCAGCCTCAAATTATTGAATTGTACTGGCTGCACCTTTCCCCAAAGAATATTTACAACAATATTGTATAACACTGCATTTACATGATGGTTTTCACAGTTTGCTTGCCGAAAAACAATATGCTAGTACATATGTAGGCTGGAATGGAGTGCTATTCCCCTTCCTTGGCTACATTTTTAATGCAAAATAAGCTAAAGGTGTTTGATCTATTGGGATCCCAGGTAATTATCTAAGTATTCATAATATATGCAAAAATGAGTCTTGATGGGTCATGGGTGACTACATTTTAAAGGCTGAATAGGAAAAACAACATATTTGTTCAATGTCATTGGAGTTTTGCAGATCCTTTAGTGTAAAAGCTTTATARAAGTAGTGTCACGATCTAACTATTGCTGCATGTCTTTTTGAGGCGTTAATTTGGCTATCTTATTGGACCACAAGTCCTAGCTATTGTTTGTCTATCGCCCTTGCAGTTGTGGAGGGATTTGGTTATGTTTAAGCCAGCCAGGGTKCTGTGAAGAGCCAGGGAGAAAAATAGTTTTTTTAAGGTTCTGACWTACACTAGTGATATTAGTAACATCTTGAAGAAGGAGGGAAGATATCTTTGTCTTGCTTCTTCACCTGAGTGAGTCTGAGCTTCTGGAGGATGAGGATGATGCCGAGCAGTGTGCGCGCTCCTGCTCGCTATCTGCAGGGCTGTGCGAGTGCTCCAGAGAGAAACCTGGAGGGTTTCCCACTATCCTGATGCTTTCTCTACTTTACTTGCTTTCCCTCTGTAAAAGCAGGTGTCAGGGTTTTAGATGGTTGGCCTCACTACTGTTCTGCTTTGAGTGCTTTAACTGTACTTACTTTAAGAGACTTAAAACAGACAAACTCAAAACACTCTTCATTTGTYCGTACAGCTGTGCTAGGGGTTCAATCCTGTGATCATTAATAAATTATGCTTTAGTTCTGCTTCCTGAAAAAACAATGTGTTTTTTCAGGAAGCAAAATCACATTTCACTGTCGGATTCCTGGAACCCAGGAGTTCTCATTCCCAGTTTTCTCTTGTTTGTGCTTTGCTTGCTCTCTTGATGTAAGCCAAGGCCATTCTGGATCTGTGCTTCACAGCTTAGAAAGGCTATCGTAGTCCTGCTACTAGTGCAAAGGTTGGGAAAGCTCTCATTCCTGTGCTAATATGTAGGCTGTTGGTAGTCKCTTAAATTCTGTTATTACTTAACAGACACCTTGACTCAGAGTCTCTCGTCAATCTTCTGTTCCCAGAGGAGATTTAGAAGCTTTTCTCAAATAGCCTTTGGTCTCTTAATGTTAGGGCTAATATTTTTCTTCGTCTCTTTAAATGACTTTGGTGTTCATGTAGTGCTCTATATAAAAGCTTATCTAATTCCAGTAGACTTGAAATTCTTGACCATTGTGACTTAACTCTTATTTGCTTCTGACTGTCTAACATACCAGAACAGAGAAGAGGCTAAATTGTGAATTCTGAGTTGCTTGACTGTAAAGGTAGAGTCATTCAATTCCTATCAGTGCAGATAAAGTCACACCTAGGTAACCAGCAGCGTGCTTGTGTCTTTCTGACATAAATGTTTCTGTTTCAACTGAAAACAAATTCACTCAAATTSACTATTCAACTGCGGTTCCACCAGACTTTTCATGAACCTCCTGTAATTCACAGCCACAAGATCTCACTAATGCTTTTGTTAGGAAAAGTAGAAAGTGAGAAGAATCTATGCTTAACATGGCAGATCTGCCAGCAACTTGGCATGGGTATRGCTTTAATAGGTTTTGTGGAAAAGCCCACAGTGATTGCTGGCTTGGGAGTATTCTTGTCTCCATTTATCTTAGTTGAAACTGGTGTTGCTGCCAGTTCTTTTTAGCAATACCTATTTTAAATGAATTAAAAGTATTATTCTCTCTCTCTCTCTCATACCCTTTTAGACATAAAATAAACTAAGCATTGCCTTCAAATCTTTTGAGCAAATGAAGAAATGATTAGGTAGTCTGAGCATTGCTATTTGATATACCCTTGGGTTAGACAGGAAGTACTTCCTAACATGCATGATGATCGTGAAGTGTTTGTCAAATACTGTGAAATGTAGGTAGACATGAATGTGTCTTTTTCTGCTAAATTTTACTTGGTAACCCAACACAAGTCAGTGTTGGCTTCTTWTATGAACCTTGTACTTAGCTCTTGTTCTGCAGAGAGGTGCTACTCACCTTGAGACATTGCAAGGGCCTTGTGTCCATAGCTTGCTTGTAAGTAGGGTCTAAATTTAGTAGATGTGTGAGAGAGAAGACTTCCCTACATGTATTTGATGTGTATAATTCAGTTCATACAAACAGTTCATGCAGAAACAATTCAGTCAAAGCCAGATGGACCAGTAGTCAACCTCCATAAACATTCATACCGTTGTTTTTAGYTTCAGCAGTCAAGGCTATAGCAAAAGAGTAGTGGCCTTGGGAGCTGCTGGAGAGCACAACACACCTGCCGAGAAGGGAATCGCTGTGCGCTGCCTTCCTGTTCAGCTGAAATCCCTTGCTAATTCTGCAGGAGTTTTTGCACTATATGTTGCTGCAAAAGAGCATTGCTGAGGTCTAAGATGATTTTCTCACCACAGAGAGGCTGGATAAGCAATACGGGTGGGAGGAAGGGAATGATCTGGGAATTAAAATAAAGAAGGGGCAGATGTGATGGTCTAATTAGCCTTGTCCTGCTTTCACCAAGCTGTTCTTAGATCTCCACCATCTGCTGAATAATTCGAATCACCTCCTTGTTACTGGACTGAGTTTGGAAAAACAAACCATTTCTTAGGACCTTTATTTCCTATTGGTTGGTGTCATTTGCAGCTTGTCATTTGAGTGCTGCTGAAGCTCCCTAACCATCCGTGCTTAGGGTGAATTTCTTACAGTGGCTGTAGCTTTTTGTCCAGTCGATGCTGTTGAATTAGCCCTGATGTGTTCCAAATGATCTCCCATATAAATTGGAATTTTCAAAATGATAATTCTTGAAAGATGGTTAAGCTGATCAAGTTAGCATCTTGCATACCACAGCTATGGGATTTTCCTTAACTTGTTTCTTTCCAGTCTGCAATGTTTCTTTGATGAAAACACAATTTTGATTTTAAAACATATCAAGTGTTTGTATCACACCACTGAATAAGCTGCTGCACTGGTTAAGTCCAGCTTTCACTAGTAAAAATGTTACTGTTCCTAGTCTGAGAACTGAGGTATTTCAAAACTCATCTTTGTGGTAAAGATCCCAGGACTGTGGTCAGGACCTGATGCCTGGCATAGAAAACAGCTTGGTGCTGATGAGGACCTGCCCAGAGTTGGACAGTAGCTCTTCAGCATGAGTAAATKTGCAGGGATTTTTGTGTTATTTCCTTGCTGAATTGTAGTTGTCCTGTTTCAGGTGGCAGATAGGCAGCCTTGAGACCTAGGCTCTCTTAAATGTAGTCATCCACTTCTTTCCTTTTTTATTAGAAGAAAAGGAAGTGTTCTCTCTTTTCAGACAATGTTGACTAAACTTTAGCTATGGACCACAACCTCCCAGCCTTCCCAAGCAAAGGCTCTTTGCTTGGGATGTTTACTCTGTCAGCTTCAGCCTGGTGGATCTTAATATACTTTTATTGAATTTGGAATGCTTCCAAAGTGGAGAGCTTTTATTCTTGGTTGATCTATAATCTGGTACTCAAAGGAAYGGCTACTGAAATACAAGGGGAGAATTAGGAGTTAGTTAATTCTGGTGATAACCTTGAAAAAATGCTAATGCCAGTTTGGGGTTGCTCAAGTTTGTACATATGAGAAGTTGTAAACTGCTCACCATTTCATTTTTTTTTAAATGGTACTTTTCTGTAGATGGTACTTTTCTGACAGAATTAAGATGATGGAGACAGGTGTGTTGCCATGTAGTTTCATTTCTGGATAAACCTAGATATGCAGCAATCTGTTGTCCCTATAATTGGAAGTCTGTTTTTGCCTATTGCTGTTATAAAATGGAAACCATTCTCCAAGTGTGTAGTCTTTTGGGATCTCTTTCTATTCCCATGAAGGAAAAGGTTTCATTCAGCACCAGTTTTGGCTATCTAATAGAGACCAGAGAACTATTATTGCCTTTTTTTTAATAGTTTATTTATCTGATCAGTTATTGACATGACATCTGTTACAGATATTTTTATTTAGAAAGAGGATCACTGGTAGAATACAAATTGTTTTGATTTTACATGAAAGCTACTGCTCCAAAGATATATGGTAGTAATCAACTTTGTATCTGTCATCCCAGAAAAGCTAAGTGATCATTGAAAGTGCAGAGGTTAGTGTTTAGAAGGGTTGCAAAAATTAATAGCGGGCATCATAGTAATAATGCTGTTCCGAAATAGATTATTTCTATTTGCTAAAATCTTGTTTAGTCTTCATTCTGTCTGTCAGTTGAAATTTTATGTAGTATCCTTTGGGAAGTTCTACGTGGTAGTTCTTTTCCTAGCTCTATCAACAGAAATTTTTGAATTCCTTGTTTGAGGTTGAGGGTTTTTTCTGCTTGTTATTTTTTTTTTAGTTGAATATTTAAAAGTACTTCTGACCCAGCAGATTTGGATATCTTTTTTTTTGTTGTTGTTTCTGAAGTTTCTTGAGTCTTTTGAGGCTGTGTGTGAAGCTCCGTCATAATGCTTATATTCCAAATAATTGACAGTATATTCTTAGCAGAAAATATACCATGCAATTCAGAATTTACCTCAAGTAGACCTTGAACTTTTTATGGTGAATTAGATGGTGAGTTAGATTTTATAACTTACTACGTGAAAATTCATGCAATATGAAATAATTGTAAAACATGACAGTTGGGCTTTCCAGGGAAGCACATAAATTACAGGAAGAAAAGGTCATGGATCACCTGATACAAATATACTTACTTTTTTTGGAGTAGCTATACATAAGAAATGTATGTTTATGATGTTCATCTGTATTAAAAGAAAAAAAAAGTGGTGCACTGTATGAAGCTGTGGTATGTTATAAGAGACTAAATTACTCAGAGGATGAGTTCTCCTCCCTGCAATGGTAGGGTGTGGTATCAATGTATCTGTGGCGTTGGTGGATTCAGTTATTCATATTTGTTGAATGTATATGTCTTAACTAAGACATATATGTTCACTAGATTGTGCTGACAGAGGTTGTAGTGGATGCTTCTCTGCMGTATRGATGCTACATTACTAATTTAAGCTRATTTTATTGTAGATGGATATTGTGTAATATGTGCTTTAAATAACACAGTAGTACTAAGAGTATACATCTGTGTATTTGCTAGGTTACTATTGCCTGAGAAACATTTTTTTTATAAATTGTGGCTTAGAAGAGAATATTTACATCTGAAGAACAATGGGGGATTCCACAGAAGTTCTGTGAGAAGCTTTTCCTTTATGAGCATATAAGCCACAATAGATCAGAAGTGAAATGTTGACCCTATTAGAAGAACAGGTTCATTTGTAATGGGTCTCAGCAAGGCCATATATTTTAGCAATTAAGAAAGACATTTGCATATACTATTATCAAGAAAGTGTGTGAGGTATTTAATTTTTCTTATGGCATGTTTGCTGTGACTCTAACTTTTTTGATTTTTGAAGAAAAAAAATCAAAAAGAACATAAAAACAAATATACCGCTTTTATAGCTTGGTTATTTTTTGTCTTTTCATTTAGATGTAATCACTGTAACAACAGACTGAGGGCAAAAGAAATTAAAGCAGTTGGGTGAATTAGCTCAGCAAGTGACGGTTCACAGGAGAGTCTTTATCTACTCCTTCCACAGACTGTGTGCATAATTGCAGGTAAGTGCACTGGCTACGTTTTCTTCAATAGAACAATTATAATAGAAATTATAATTAAAGGTCTGATATTATACTCATGACTAGATATTTGGGTCAAAATTGTACRTGCAGTAGCTTGAAGCCTGTTCTAAAAATGTCTTTGATTAAATGTATATTTTATTGCATGCCTTCAGGAGTATGATTATGAAGCYAAAATGACTCAGTTAACTTGAAAATGGTGCTTGTAGAAGACAGCCATTTTTGTCAAGGATTTTGGACTGTTTTTATTTTTAGGTATTGTCCCAAGGAAGTTTCATATGCGTACATCTCTGCATATTACAGTACTGTGAATATAATAAGTTGCATACATTATTGGGAAAAAAAACCCAAGACGGTAAATATGCGGTTTCTAATACCTTCTAAAAGTTCGTGGCAGAATCAAGTATGTAATTGCTCTCTGTGACTACAGCAATCTCTAATAAATGTCTCGATGCAGTTCACAAAGTTGGAATCAAGACATCTATTTGTCCTCATAAAATCTTGTATCAGGTTTCCTAAGAATTGTTACAAAATCTGATAAGTTTCTGCTGAGAATAATAGGGAGGGAAAGACTAAAGCCTTTGTAAAGTACTAAGCATCTCTTGGTAAGYAGAGCATAAAGTGAGAGAGTCAAAAGGATGTGTAAAGATGCGTTTCCTGATGGTGTAATATGGTTCCCCAAAGGATAAATTCTGAAGAATATATTGCTTGCAGAAATGAAATACATGTGAGGATATATGTAAGCAGTATAGTCAGCAATAGGGCTGCGTCTCTGCTGAAACATGTTTGCAAGTCCTTTGATTCTGAAAAGAAAATGAAAGCACAAGAAGAAATACTTCCCAAGTGAAAAAGTACAAGACCTAAACAAACGTTTCCCACATGGAGTTAACGCTGCATGTGGCCATATATCCTGGTAGGCAACTAGTTTGTTAATAGTGTAGGGGATGTCCGTGTGTGTGAGGAGCAGGGTAGCATCCCAGCTGAAACACCAACACACTGACTTGTTTCCTTAATGGCTGTGCGTTGCGTTCAAGTCATGATTTGCAGTCTGCCACTCTAGCACTGGATGCTATTTTTCTATGTTKGTTTTCTGAGTGTTTAATACATATCTAGTAGCTTGAGATGCTTTTCTTCAGGGCCCATCGGGGGGAAAAAATGAACGTAGGGATACAAAGATGAGAAGGACTGTCTATAAGCAGATGAAAAAAATGCTCAAGTCTTCTGTTCATCATCAGATTTCTCTGTTTTGATGGAACTAAAGCCGTTTAGCTGTTTTGGAATGAAATGCTTAAAATGTTTGAGAAAAAACTGCAAAGGTTTTTGTGCTGCCAAGGTTCTCTTTCTACAGACCTATATTGTGATCAGTTTGGTACTCTTCATGTCATCAATGGAGCAAAATGCATGTACTTTATAGATAAGGGAGACAGTTATTTTTATTGTTAATAGTACTTGTAAGACTGGTATGCTACCACTACCATTSGTAAATAGTGCTCTAATTCTCACTAAGAACTATGTTTAAATTTCTTAAAAATAAAGTGGTTATTTTCCAAAGACTAAGGYTTTTATGACTGAATGATATGGGAAACTTTGTAAGTATAAGTGTGACACAATTTATGAAGTAGGTTTGCAAAAYGGGTGAAATGCTACCTCTGTGTTTGGGGGTGTGTATATATGTATTTGACTTTTGCTATACAGTGTGTTCAAGTGGAATTGCATTCATAACACTAGTCAGCTCCATTGTCTCATTATTCAGTGAGTAGATGTTTCTCAAAAAATATATRTATTTATCTCTTTAGCTTTTCAGAACTAATATCAAAATCTTCAGTAGCTACATTTTCATTAGCTCACACTTTAAAGAACGTTATTGTAACTCATTMAGTAAGGGAGACTGGAAACTAGAACTGAGGGATGAATGGGAAGAAAATTAGGGTTCTAATGACCTAGATTCTGCAGATAGTTCTGYATGCCGACTCCTCTGGTCACAAGTGGAAGACGAATGTCTAGGTTCACTGAATTCACTCCCACTGAATTCAAATTATCTTTCTAAACCTGATATCAAGTGACTTGAGCATCATTAAATGTCTTTAGTGCAGAATTTCTTTGCCAGTTTCAATACAATTATTTTGCATTTACTTTCTCTTAGTAACAATAGGACTCGGGCCACAGAATTGATTGGTAGATAGAAATGGAATGTGACTTTGCATTTTTGAAGCAGAAATTTTACAGAGGATTCCTCTTGAAATATGTTTGTGATATGAAGAAATAATATTTGTCTCCCTGTGCCTTGCTTAGATTGTTTGCAGCTCTGTCAACCATTACTGCAGAGTCTGACTTAAAATGCAGAGGGAGCAATGTGTCTATATATTAGTAAGTCCTTTCATTAAATCTTTACTTTTAAAAATAATTGGTTCTTTTAATCTATAATGGAACATGGACCTACAGGCTGCTTGTGATGAAAATTAAACCTTATTTGTCTTTTAATATGGTGCTATGTTCATCTGTAATTGAGTGGGGATCGATGCCAGCCCTGTGATGGGCAGTAAGCTTATCCAACATGACGGAGATAGATTTCAGGGAAGACAGACTTTGCTGTTTCTGTGTACAAGTGGGATGAGTAGACCATATCAGCAACATTTAATTATTTTGTAGGTAATTATTCATTTGAGGGACACAAGTTTCAGAGCAGTATTGGAGTAGAAAGAAGACCAATACAATTACCATTTGGCTAAGTACACTGTTTGCACTGGTAGCAGGAAAGTCATAATGAGCTTTTCATTACATTTGCATACAGTAATGYTTTATTTAATAATACAGTTCAGTTTAAGCTTAAGCTTTGTCTGTTATTACAATGCAGACTTGAGGGAGGGCCAGAAAGAAGAACAAGTGGGAAAATGAGGGGCCTGTGGTTGCTTCAGTCTTTCTTCTTTAGCTTATTGAAGATTGAGATGCTGTTTTATTTTTTTTTCCCCTCACTGACTAGAAGCTGATCAGGAACCTCCCCTGATTGCCAGGGCCTGTCCAAGCTGTTGGAGAGCAGCCTGAGAGTGCCAGCTCCTTCAGTACACTCACATATGTATTGTGGTCCCGTGACCTTATGTATATAAGGTGACCTTAAAATCTGGCTTCTTCTATTCTGAATACTGGTTCACACTGAGAGAAAAGATTGCCAGCACTTGAAATACTGGAAGAAAATAACTGAGTCCTCTCAGAAGTTATGCAGCATTTCATAATGAATATATTTCCATTCAGCTTGAGCAGTCTTACTTGAAAATGTGGTTTTGTATATGAACTATTATTCATGAAAACTAGATTTCTTTTCCTGCATTGTCCGTGTCCCCTGTACTGTAAACAATTGTTAGCTTCATGCTGGTTCTTAAACTATAAATTTTAATATAATATCAAAGATGCTAAGAGGAAAAACTCAGTTTTAGTAGCAGTATCTGTGAACTGGAAGGACTGGGACAAAAGCAGGCATTATTCAACTGTTAACATTTACATCTCTTAATTCTGGAGAGCAAGTACTGTTGAATTTCTCTATGCCTTTCTAGTGAGTAGTTTGTATAGCTGGAGTGTGCAAGCTCTTAAAAATAAATGTTTCTTATTGTCTTGGCTTGGGCAGATTATTCTTGCATAGAGTTTCAGTTTTCTGTTGACTTATTTCTGAGTACCCTTCTAGCACACAGTACCAAATAATTTTCTGATTGTGTCCTACCTGAATAGCCATTAAGATAATGTACATCATGTACATTAGTATAACATGGTATTTGATCTTCATAACTTTTTACACTGTCTTAGATGAGACCACTGTTCCCTTAAAAAACAAAAATAACCAGATTTTTTTTTAATTATTTTAATTCTTTGTGAGTGCCCCTGATAAGTAGTAGCAATAATGATATTGCTTTTTTGGGGGGGGGGGCAGGGGGGGAGGGGGAGGGAGAAGGTATTGTTAGTAAGATATGCAATTTATTTTATTTTGGTCAAACAGGACTGGTGAATAGAATCAATACAAAAATGGTTGTTGCGTAACAAACCTGTAAGAAAATTTCCGTTGTTGTTATGAAATCAAAAACTGCTGCTTCACAAAGCAGTGGCTTAGATGCTCTAATGTGCTAGCTGCGAATGCAAAAGAACATTTCAATAGCAGATATATTATCAGTATATATGATGCCTCACCCAGGGAAATGGATTCAGCAGTTTCTAAAACGTTATGCATTCATCTTTCAATCCTGTTCAATCAATCTTTCCTTACCCATCTGAGGCCCTTTTGAAAATCTTGCCTGATGTTTTGTCATACAGCCCTGTAACCTAAAACAGTAGTGTCAACATAATAAATCTGGTTTAAGTAATCAATSAAGAAATATGTTTTTAATAAGTCTCAATGAACATGCTTTACAGTTTCAGTTCTCCTGAACCTATATGACAATAATACAATTCTCTTGTTAATGGTTCACAGTTTATATGTTGTAYATTTTAGTTTGTCTAGAGATTTGAACATAGTTTCATTTCATGTTCTTGGTTTAGTTTCTTATGGAGTGTAGATATGCCAGAAGAATTTAGGTATGTAAGCAGCTGCCACCAGAATTTATTGCCATTGGGTTGTTATTGAAATTAGCCTGTACCATCTGATGTTCAGAGTATGCAGAAAACTTAATTCTGTATAACCTTATGAAGTGAATTTCTTACTTGATATTCTTGCACAGGTCCCCCTTAAAAGAGCTGGGTCTTATCTAAAAATCTAGATCTTTTTCACAATATCTAGTTTTGTGGTGTCCTGTGCTTTCTGCCTTGGGGCAAATTATTGGTACCTCTTAGCGTGCTTCCAGCTGTAAGATTTTGTCAATATCTGCTTCACTTAACTAATGATAACTGATTAAATTTTGAAAACACCTTGAAGATTAKTCTTTTTTTCTAAATTATTACTAAGTATCATCAAGATAGCAGCTCACTTAAGAGCTCTAGTGCACAATCCTAGGACACGCATGCTGTCTGTTGTACCAGTTGGTAGTGGTTAGCAAAAAGAAGCTGGCTCTAGGTGCAAATACTTTATAAGAGGACATTTCTGAAATAGCTAGGCAAGTTTTGACACAAAGGCAACTGCCTGAAAAAATGCTGGAGATGTCTCCCGAAATGCAGTAATCCCCATTAAATGCAAGTGAACAGTTGTTTCCCTTAAAACACTAACTGCCGTTTTATGAAAGCAGAAGGGCACTCTAAGCAGTGCATTTTTAGAGGATTATTGCACTTCTCTAATGGTTCAGCTCCTGCACCTTTGGGTTTCTGTTCCCCAGAACACTTGAGGAATGCAGCAAAAAAATGTGCAGAAATGCGCTGGAGTGTTTGTCACTTAGTATTCATCAATTCTGGTCATGCAAATTTACTTATTCATGCAGTTACCATAACATCCAAGTGATAAGTTGCCCATAATTTACACAGATAAATTACACACAGCTGTGACTCATAAACCCTTTAGGTTTGGGGCAGTTCTGCTAAGTTGTAGCTTGAGTTTTGATAATGGAAGTTCTAAATATTTTCTCACATTTTCATTCATATGTTATATAGAATGAGCATTCTAACAAAATAACGAATTTGAAATCATAATTAATGCAGAAAAGTTATAGTGATGTAGGTATTGGTGAATATTCACGGTCCATAACATGTAAAAAGCAGTCATAGTGAATTGCTTAGGAAGTTTTAAAACCAAGTTACATGGTGGATTAGCAAATTGAGATGTCCCTAAATGCCAGTAACATCTGGAGTATATTATAGGGACAAAGTAGTTGAGAATCACTTCAATGTACTAATTCTTTTGATGACCATGAAGTTATAATGACCATATTATAATCAGAGGTAAAAGAATTTACAAATTCCTGTATTCACACAATTTTAGAATTTCTAACTGTTTTTGTTTTTTATGAACATGTTAATTTCATCAAAAGAATTAGTAGCAAGTGTTTGTCATGGCAAAAACTCTAGGGGAAAAAAATCATTAAGCTCCTAGTCCATAGTCAGAATCTTTAAATTCTTCAGTCAATTGAATAAACAAGCCATTAAAAAAAAAAAAAAAAAAAAAAAAGGAAAAAATAATTCTATCATATGAGAATTAATAATGTTACAAATAAAAGAAAAAAAAATACTTAATGTTGAGAAGTTGCTGTTTCTTTCAAGAACTAGGGGTTGGTCTAAACCAACATGATATTCCTGTAGTGTATTTATATCTCAGAGAACTGGAATAATGAAGTGGTCATAATACTACCAAATTATTTTTTCCTTCAGGGATGCAAATATGGAATTCAGGTTTTTAAGGTTTTTTTCCAAGTCTTGCAAGATCCTAAAGCAAAGTACTATTCTTACCAGCAGTAACACACTCTTGTAAGCCAACGGTGTTGGCAAAGGAAACTTAGATTTTTCACTAAGAGTTTTAGTCCTAGGGGAGGTTGCACTATGTCGTACAGCCAAATATTTTTCTGAGGAAAGTGGATCCAATTGGCCCCTTGCAGGGCCCCTTGCAGGGCACCGATTACTGAGCAAATACTGTGACTGGTAGACGGGTTGGTTACGTGTTTCTTGTGGCCTTTTTAAAGTTCACARTAGCACCTTCTTTCCCCAAAACTTCATTATTATGTTAACAGAAATGCAGAGAGGAAGGAGGGGGGCTGCATAGGATCATAATGACTTATCATGATGGGAAAACATAAAGTTTGGGTGTTTTCACTCTCCAAACAGCTGCAGTGCCTTTGGCAGTGCCAGTGGCTGTGTTATTTATTTAATAGCTGGGACTTGCAGGGTGGAAGGCAGGGTGAATGCCCAGCGAGGAGTGACTTAGATACCTGACAGACTTGTGGATACTCCACTAATACTAAAATCAAGATGGTGATTTTGCTTTAGACCCTCCGGGCATAGTTGAGGTTGAGGGCACATCAGCTTTTTTCTTTCYTCCTCTCCAAGGTCTTCAGTTTCCTATCAGCAAGGGTAGATTTTTCTACGCAATAAATCACTTGAAACTACTGAATAGTGAATCTTATAACTTGCAGCATATTCGATTGTGTTTACGTATGGTGATATGCTGCACTAAAAAAAAAAAAGCTTTTCTCTTATCAAGGATGATAAAGATAAATACACTCCATAAGGTTTCTTTTAATCCCAATGTCTTTAGCCATTCATTAACAACACTGTAGAGAAAACAGATTTGTCTTTTGCATCCTTCTTGCTGCATAACTTTAACAAAACATGACCAGCCTCTCCCACCACTATAAAAATTAATCATTACTGATTAGTCATATGGTTAGTGTGCAACCTTTTAAAACAGAATTTTTTTGAAATTAAATATAAATTTTTAATCTCAGTTAAAAGTTTTTTTCATAGCATTTTTATCTTATTTTTAGCTTCCTGTTCATTTTTTTCAACTAGATCTATCTTCAAGGCAAATCCAGGTACTTTAGTTGAGATAGTCTTACATATGAGGAACTGTAAATGATCCTAAACTTGGGTCCTTCAGACTTTTGCTCTGTTATCACACAAGCATAAAGGTGTTGGTAAGTGCAGTGTGAAGTTTTCTAGAAAACTAAATGCCTTGTTCTTTACCCAAATTTCTTTAGTTTTGCCAGTGCTAAGTGTTTTATAGGCTTGCTTACAGTATTTAGCTTGCTATGAGGAAGTACTATTTTTGGGTACTTTTTTCTGTCAAAGGTAAATAATCTTAGGTATATTATTTCCAAGGCTAGTAGAACTTGATTAAACTTGATGCAAATAGTACTCAAAATGTTATCAATGACTTCAAGGTTAGATCCTATTGTTTCTAGGATTTCAAAATAAGGTATCTCACCCTGTTGAGAAGTGTTGTATCTAGGACAATATGGTTCTTACGATTTTTTGCTCTTCCTTTCCTTTTATAATTGCAGATGCCTATTGCAATGTTTTGCAGGTGGAGTAATAAGAAATTTGATTTAGTTGTTGAATATCCTATTTGTCTGCCCGTGAGTGTCTCCCTAATATGTYTGAGGTATTGTTACAAAAGGACTGCTATTTCCTAGCATTTTCATTAACATGAGGCTTTTCCTTCATTTTACTTCAAGATTTTAATCACTTATAGGAAACAGTTGTGGAATCATAGATGTTGTATTCAGAAGTGAAAGGGACAAAAACTCAGAGTGAGATTTATGATTATCTAAATGTTGTGATGGATGTTCAGGGCCTTGCTTTGACAAAACATTCTCAGACAAGAAATATTGCAGGTAAAATTTAGAGAGGATATGACTAGCACAGATGAAATTCTCACACAAAGCAGACGCTTAATTAAACAGGGAGGCATGGTATGTGCTACCTGAGCAGCGGGATGCAGATATTTATCTCCAGCTGTTATAATGTGCATTCATTACAATGTACTTGTGAATAATAAAATGCAGGTATGAAATCAGATTTGCAGCTTAATTACTATAGTGAAATCCTAAAGACTCAAGTTAAAATCTCCCTACCTGGACAATGTCTCCTTAAACTTGCTGTAGCCCCTGAGAGCACCCAGCTAGCAGGGAATACCTGGCATTTGGGATGCTGGATGGCATTTTCTCCCTTGTGGTCATTATGGTCCATACATTTTGGTAGGAGACAGC